GGGCTCCCCGAGCCGGGGGCCCAGGAACCGGGGTCACGTGCGCATGGGCTCCACAGGCGGGGCCAGCGCCTCCTCGTCCCATCTCTGGGGGGAGCTGTTACCAGCACAGGTTTCACACGGGAGAAGAATTTAGTCACAACATCAACATCTGCACAGACAGAGCCTGGGGTGGCCCCGCCTAAACGCTGGACAGTGGCCGCCCCCGGCCAGCAGCTCTAAGGAGCCGCAGGGGCGCCCGGAGGAGGTGGGGTGGGCCTGACCCGGCGGAAGCAGAAGCAGGCTGAGCCCCTCAATGGGTCGGGGCCCTGGCGACCCCCCTGCAGAGAGAGCAGGCTGGGTCGGGGCGGCTGACAGATTGGGGGACAGGGCGGCCACGGTGATGTGACCACATTGTTGAGGGTGCGTGACTCTGATTTCAGGAGAGAAAGCAGGGGGAGGAGGGTGCCCTGCAGCACCTGGAACCCCAGACAGCAACGTCGCAGACGGAAGTCCCTCCTGGACAGTAACTGCCTTACATGCAAATGCATCCAGCTCTCCCATCGGACAGAGATGGCCGAATGGGGCGAACAAAGGAGCCGCCGCACGATGCAGTGAGACTCACTCTGCGTCCAAAGGCACACGGAGGAGAGAGGTGGGGCGATGGGCCCCTGCTGGTTTGGACAGAGCACCGGCCTGCGGACTGAAGGGTCCCGGGTTCTAGTCCAACTCAATCCCCGGCCTGGTCTGGGCGCCTGCAGGAGGCGACCAATGGATGCATGTCTCTCCCGTCTTCCCTCCCACTCTCGCTGAAAGTCAGCGGAAACGGGTGAGGGTGAACAGGCGCATCGAAGCCAAGGCCGCACCCATTCTCGTTCGAGCGCGTTAAAAACTGTCCGTGTCAGCGCGGTCATCTCACTGTAAGTCGTGCGAGGCCAGGTGTGCAGGTGCAAATGGAATATTAAACTCGCCTCCCTCCAAAGCAGACACGACGAAAGGCAACGATGTTCTAAACCCCAGGACCGAGCCCCTCACCCCAGGCACAGGCCCGAGGCCCCTGTCAGCCAAGGGGCAGGTTTCATGCAACTGTTCCCAGCTCGAGGCCTTGGCGCCCGACACAGACAAACAGGAAGAAGCTGGGGACGGACAGAGGCCGCAGCGGCAGGTCTAGGAGGAGCGCCAGGGGCGCCGCCACCCAGAGCCCAGGGGGCAGGAGGTCCTCCCAGAGCCCGCGGGGCCGGCCTGCCCACACCCGGGTTTCGGGCTCCCGGGCTGCGGGCCTGGGAGAGAATTATTCCCGAGGTTTGTTGCTGGGGTCCAACCCCAGCAGATCCAGGGGTCCCCAAAGGTGTGGACGGAGGCGGCGAAGAAGGAATGACATGGAGGCAGCTTTCAGTTCATCAGCATAGTTGGGTTCTCTCGCCTGGTTCTATCCAGAATCTCCATCCAGGTTCTGTCCAGGTTCTCTTGCCATGTTCTCTCGCTAGGTTCTTCAGCCAGGTTCTATCCAGGTTCTCCTGCCATGTTCTGTCTAGGTTCTGTCTCTAGGTTCTGTGTAGGTTCTGTGTCTAGGTTCTGTGTTCTGTTGTCTTGTTACATCTGTATTTATACCAGTTGTTTCCAATC